TGGGATTCACTCTGAAAACAGATAATTTTTTAGATTTCTCCACAGCCTCTGCAGGACATAACAAATAACAAATGTATCTGACACACTAATGGTGCCTGCCTTGTCCAGAGAGATTTGAGCACTGACCAGAGTAAACAGGAATGAAAGAGGCTCCTTGCTTTGAGAGCAGTGGAACTGCATTAAAAAAAATAGGCCACAGTCTTCAGTGATTGGCTGATGAAAAAGAGAGCGAGAGAAAGGAGCAGGAAGGCAGAGGGAGGCCCAAAGCCAGAGATATTGTGCTCCTGGGAAGTCCGAGTACATTGAAAGGAACCCAAGAAGCTGCTTTATATCTGCCTGGATAGCTCAGTTGGTTAAAGCGTGATGCTGATAATACCAAGGTTGCAGGATTGATCCCCATATGGGGCAGCTGCATATTCCTGCATTGCAGGGGATTGAACTAGATGATCCTCAGGACCCCTTCCAACTCTATGCAATTCCAAGGTCACATTCCTGAGGCTGGGCTGCCCTTTGGTCCCCAGGCTGGGCCATGCGAAGGCCAGCACTCTCGCTGAATGGCCACCCAGCCAGCGCTCCCTCACTCAGCACACTGCACTCCCCAGACAGCGGCAGGAACAGCCCAGGCTCACAGTGAGCAGGTGCAGATTAAGGGGGGTGGGGCAAGGGGCATCCCCAGCACAGCACAGTGCTCCTCTCAGAGGGTGCCAGGGGGATTCACCCATCAAGGGCCGTGTCAGTCAGCCAAGTTAATATTTGCACAGCACAGCCCTGCTTGGCTCTGGTGGAGGGGTCGCTCTAGCAGTATTGGCAGCTTGCCCATCCCGGGCACCAGCAACCCGTGCTACGCCACTGCTGACTGGCAACATGTCTGCAGGATTTCAGGCCAGATTCTCTCCCAGCCATACCTAGAAATGCCAGGGATGGACCTGAGCCATCACACCTGTTCGCTTGCCATGAGCACAACATTTGCCCCTAGGCTCCTCTTCAATCTCTTTGGATTCAACTAAGTTTTACTCACAGCAGACTCACTGAAGTTAATCAACCTAACGTTGCTTTTAAACTGGCATAGTTGATGTTGCCTCCTCTTTTGAGGCCAAGAAAAATATGGTTGCCATCCCTTCAGCCCCGGACAGCATAAATGGTGGCTTATCTGCCACAGAATCCCACCATCACCACCTTTATGCAAAAAAACTACCAAATCAGTATCTCACCTAAGTTCTTACCAATTATTGAATTATGTTTTTCAAATTTACTTGCAAGCATTTGAGTTTGGAAGGGCAGAGCAGGCATAATTAATCTCAGTGTATGACCTCATCTTTCCTTTTCTTCTCAATATTCCTGATGCAATTCGTTCACTGGGCAGCATCCTGGAAACTAGGAGCAAGGTCTGACTTCTTAAGAGAACAACTGGACCTAGTTCTGCAGCAAGCCTGTTTCTGTTTATTCCTCTGTAATCAAAAGGGCCAGAGCCTGGGATGTCCCTTTGGTCCTCTGCCTCTCCCCCACCTGTAACTATGCCCACAGGGGAGAGGAGAGAGGCTTTTTATGGCGGAATGAAGAGAGGGAAACAAAATAAAATGGCCTTTCCCCTCCCACTCTCAAAATTATGCTGGCATTTGCAGTGCAGCAGAAAACACTGTCTGGGTTTCTAGTCTGGCTCAGCCACCCCCCTCCGCAACACACACATTCACAATACTTGCTTTAGGTTCATGCTCCTTAGTCCCATAAAATAAACAGTAGCCCTCCAGGGATGCGAAAGGCTTTCCAAAAAAAAGAAAGAAAGAAAGAAAGAAAGAAAGAAAGAAAGAAATTATCCTTATGTTTTTGTTTTTAAAGACTAGAGACTTTAAAGACCAGCCCTTTAGGCCTGGCCCTAGCTCGGTTGTTATTGTTTTCGTTCCTGGTTTTTAAAAGGGAACTTTTATTTCACCGTGGAGAGTCTGCAATTTTTCTTTTTTCTTTTGTGGGATTCCAATATTCCTTAATTAGACACTGTCCCTTGGTGGAGAGCAAAAGATGGTTTTTAATTCGTTTTCCTCTGCCATTTCCATGCCTTTCGCATTTAATAACAAGGCAAGGAAATGTTAAGCAGCTGCTGAGATGCAGGTTAGATGCTGAACGTTCAGCCAGGAAACCTCATAGCACAAACTTTCTAGGCTTCTGTCTCACCAAACGAAGATTTAAAAAAATGAAAACAAAGGTGGAATGGAACATCCAAAATGAAATGGGGGTCTCAGCAGCGTATTTGGGGAAAAGGAGGAGGACTAGTGCTTTAATTACAGTGGGACTAAAAGGGAAACAGCCCCCTAACCTTCTCTGCTAGCTCCCTTAGCTACTGTTTTTGAAAGCTACCAGCAGGGACATAATATGGCTAAAATTGTGGGGAGAGAGGATGGCGCTTGTTGATTTCATTAAGGCCCTTACCTCCCCACCTCCCCCCAATTCAAGCACTTAATCTAAACCTTTTCTTAGTATGGGTAGCATGAGCTATAAACCATAAGCTTATATAGTACACACTATAAGCTTGGAGAGTCACCACTTCAAATCTGTGCTCAGACTCATTGGGTGGTCTTAGGTATGCCACTGTTAGTTAACCTCCCCCCCCCCCACCATTCAATAATATGAGGCAAAGAATACTGGCCTACCTTACAGAGCCATTGTTAAAGATTACTAGGAGAAGCTCTCTGAACAAGTTCAATAAATGCTAAGGGTTTATTCAGAGCAAGAGAATGAGAAAGAAACTCTCTTAAATGGTTCTAAAATCCTCTGTCAAACAAGACAAATGCCTTAATAATATACACTGGTATGGTACCTCAGGTTAAGTACTTAATTCGTTCCGGAGGTCCGTTCTTAACCTGAAACTGTTCTTAACCTGAAGCACCACTTTAGCTAATGGGGCCTCCTGCTGCCGCCGTGCCACCGGAGCACGATTTCTGTTCTCATCCTGAAGCAAAGTTCTTAACCTGAAGCACTATTTCTGGGTTAGCGGAGTCTGTAACCTGAAGCGTATGTAACCCGAGGTACCACTGTATCTTAATTAAACAGCATCTGCTTATATAAGTACGTTGAGATACAGCTGGCTAGATTATACATTAGAGAACTAGACAGAGAATAGTGATGGGTGAACAGTGTGTTAAGAACAAGAAAATACATTGGAAATAGAACCAGACTTTATGTAGCTGATCTACAATTAACTTCATAGATCTAATTATTTTACTAGTTAAGAAAAGGTGTCTTTAATATACCTAATGCACTGTAGATTTGGGACATGCCAGGATATATTTGGGGGGTGGGGGTGGGGTGAAGGTGTCTTTCTGTTTGTTTGTTTTTTCAACGTTAAGCCAAGTCTCTTGATTTCTAATGAGATTGAATCGTTATGCATCCTCTCTCACTACTGAAATCTATTAGTTAAGGACCGAGTGCATATTAAGGTACTTGGAGAGACGTGATGGGGGGGGGAGAGAGATAGTTGAAAGCACCGCGAGGGAGGGGCAGGGAAATCCGTGCATTTTACCCCAGTCCCAGTTAAAAACCAATTTGTTAGCAAAGGGTCAATGAGCTGGATCCAGCCCATTAACGCCGCCTTTAGAATTTGAGCCGCAATTTGTTTACACAAGGCACAAAAGCGATATAGAAAGTGGGGGGTCTCGAGTGCCTGCAAGCGCTTTCTTGCGCATTCGCGCGCGCGTCATGGGCACAGATCCCCGGTCTTTTGGGCAAAAGCGCTGCACCATTAAAAAAAGGAATATTGTCTTGTCAGGTAAACAATCCCTTTTTAATATGCATGTTTAAAAGAGTAAAAGAAATCTGCTCCAAGTAGCTTTGAATACCCCGCCTTTAAACCAGTTTCGTTCCATTTCAAAGATTAAAACGAGCGGCTTAAATCCAAGATACCGCGTAGAACAGTGTAAAGCTGGGCAAACGTTGAGCTGCTCAAGAATTAATACAGTACCGACGAATCTGCTGGATGCAGAAGCCGGAGAATCCCAAATACAGTAGTGAATGCTAGACGCCTAAACGCCGACGAATCTGCGGGATGCATTTCAGCTTCCCACGTTTTACTTCCCTCACCTCTTTAAAGAAGGACCCAGGCCAAGGAAGCCAATTTAAGCGCCATTGAGTCCAGCTAGAGAAGGAACAACGTGCTTAAATTCTCCCCACGGAAATGAATGGGACTTCTGTGCGTTTAATTTGGACGAGAATGTTCCCCCCTTGTGCGCTGATGGAATTACAAAACAAATGTATTAATAACAACAATAACAAGCCTGATGGCATCAGCCTCAAAGACTGACCCGGTTTTTTCATGGTACACTTCTTGAGCTGCAAGTCCACGGAAGTGCAGGGCGCAATAAATTTCTTAGGCTTTAAGATGCAACAGGACGATTGCTCTCGTTGCAGGAGAGTAACACGGGTACCCTTCTGGAAGGCAATGATGCTAACGCTAATACAAATGCTAATAATAACGATGATAATAATAATAATAGAGGGAGAAGGAGAAGAAGGCGTGTCAAGAAGCCTTTGGAAGCAGGGACTTCGGTCCCACCCACTCCATACGTTAAAAGCTCTCTGACACCACTTTAACCGTCATGGCTTCCCCGCAAAGAATCCTGGGAACTGTAGTTTGCTATGGGAATTGTAGCTCGATGTGGGGGTCTCTATAAAAAACCTGATACCCTTAGCGCGGGGTTGGAGCCGATTCGCCACCATCTTTCGTTTACATTTATTTCGCCCCCTCCTTCCCTCTATCAAAGGGCAAGAACTGGTGGGGGAGAAAGTTTGGGGGGGCGGGGGAGGCGATGGAAGAGGAAGAAGATTCTTTAGGGACTAAATTACCCAGAGGATAGAATGGCCGGCTTGTAAATCTGTCCCGGGCTCAAGAGTTTGGGAAGATGAAGGAGATGCAACAGGTTATCCCGGGGCACCGTCCCAGTTACTGGGGAGGGGGATGAGAGAAAAAGAAGAGACACAGAGAGGAAGGGAGAGAGGAACGGAGAGAGGAACACACAAGCCCAGAGACCCAGAGACCAGCCTCACCAAATTTGCCTCGCTGTTTTGCAGTGGGAAGCTGTAGCAGAATGAGGGGAAGCCCCCCAAAACCACAATCGCATCCCCGCCCTAGTCCAGACAGTAGGTGGGTCGTTCTGCGCTAGCGCCGCTTTGCGCATCTTTATATTTTTTCAACCAGAACTTTGTTCCTCGGGGAGCACTTTTCATAAGGATAGTGGGACCCTCTCGCTCCCTTTCCCCACTTTATTATTTTGTTCCAGGGAGTTTATTTGGGGGGAGGGGGGAGTCGCTTCCTCCTAAAGAGATGGAGACGTAAAATGAAGCGACCTCCCTTGTCTCGTTTATTCTCTTTGCGCCCCCGAGAGCGCACGAAGTTCAGGGACTGGTAGGTAAGCAAAGCGAGGTGCTTAGGATCCTATCCTTTTTTCCATATTTCTTGTATTATTATTTTGAAATATCCGTCTCTTCCTTGTTGTTTTTCGTACCGTTTGAATCCTTACCCTTTGGGGAAGGGCCAGAAAGTATTTTTTTAAATTATCTCTATTTTTATGTTCCCCCTCACTGGGATCCCTTAAGAGCACAGGGAGAGAAATGGCTACCGAGTAAACGCGCTTAGGATCGAAGAAGCAGCGTTTTCAGATTCATTTTGGCGTGGCGAGGGGGGGGGAATTTCAGAAGAGGTCGTGTCATTCCCACGAAGTTCCCCATACCGCTTTCGACCTCGCCTCTTCTCTCTCCGGGCCCCAGCTCATTTTAACGGGTTGTTGTTTTGAAAGCGCGTTTAAAAAGGAAAAAAGGCGGAAAAAAGGGGGGGGAGGAATGTTCTCTCTCCTCCCTCCTACTTTCCCCAAATTCTTGTTCAGCATGTGCGCGACTTTTGATCTCCCTCTGTTTATTTGGAAGCCCGAGAGACACGTGACTCGGCTTAGGATAGATCCTGCCAAGCTGGTCTCGCACCGTTTTGATGCCTCTCGCTAGTGGAGAGGGGGAAATAAGTGAAGGGGGCAAGCTGCAGCAGAAAATGCCACCGATTTTAAGAGTCTAGATTTGCCTCCTCTGAAATATCCCATGTATTACCCACCAAACGGTAAGACTTGTTAACAAGATCCCTCGTTTCCCCATCAAGCATTTATGAAAACGGTTTCATAAACTCCGTGCTAATTATCCTGACATCACCTAAATAGATTTCTTTGTTTTCCCTGCGCTCAAAATTCTGGCTTTTTCTTCTTGGGGCCAGGAATCGCGAAGAACTCGCTCCAGTTCGAACATAAATATGTATAGGAAACGTTCTCTGAAGAGGGAGACGTTTTTTTAAATTCAAATGCGTCTAATTTTAAATAGGTTATTTCATCACCGTCCACGATCCATCCACCAAAAAACGTGGCCAATCGCATGAGATGACACTCATATATCCTGGCTTTAACTAGAACAGGTGAATGTCATTTTTACACAAGTAGACCAATGGTTTTGCTCGGTTGCTTTCCCCGCAGCCAGATTCCAGACGCTGCGGTTGTTACCGGTTTACATTATCCTCCTGTTAAAACCGATCGGTAGCCAAACGCTCGATGCGCCGCACTTAGACACGGAACGTCTTGGTTCGCGCGTTTCAACGGAACGTCGGAGCACAATGAACCCATTAAATGCTACTCCCGGATAACTCGGTTGTGGGGAAGAACACATTAGATGCCCCGAGCAGGAAACGAACTGGAAAGCGCACTATTTCACAGCATTTCTTTAAGGAACAACCGGGAATTTGGGGGAATTCTTTCCTTCCCACCAGTCTTGCGTTATTAAACAGAATTAGCTCCTAAACGCAGACAACGACCCGTGTCTCAGACTTACACAAGGCCGACCCTAAACGAGACCCCAAGGCAGCCCAAAATTAATACTTTACACCCCACCCACCCATCCACACACCTTGAGCTGGGTGCGAGAGGGAGCTGAGAAGGGTCTCCGCTTTCACAGGGATATGGGTGGTCAATGAAGGGCCACCGTGTTGCCCCTGGAAGTGAATCTCGTCGGTTTTCGGGGGGGGGTTGACTCCCAAAGGTGTTTTTACTGTGCCACCCTAGTCATGAAACAAATCATGATGGGGATGACAGGAAGACTGACTCCTCCTCTACTCCACGAACTAAGGAGGCAAATAAAACCCTGCACAATAGCTAACTCCTAGGGGCCGAGATCCATTCCAACCCCCCCAAAATATATTTGAGCCCCCCCTAAGTTGATGCCTTGCCACTCAGATGCTGCGCGTGCTCAACATCTTGTGATCGATTAGGCGGGGCGGGGCTTACCAATCCACCCTCCCAATTTTTTATTCAAGTTGGTACCCCTGCTGAACCCCGTCTGACTTAAGTGGTTGGGAGCAAGTCCCAGTGAAACCAGCAGGATTCTTTTTTTCTTGAGCAAACATGCGCCCGACCCGGATGATCCATCTCTGTTAGACTTTAAAATGTCACAAGACACGGAGTCCGGGCCAGTTTGCAGCAGAAAGTTGTGTAGAAGATCCTTGAGTTGCGTTTGAAATGGTTCCGAGTTCTGTTGGCGTGCGCGTGCTCGCTCCAGACAGGATGCGCGCACCACGCCAGCTACTTCCCTGATCCAGGGAATATTTACCCCATAAGCAGATGGCATAAAAGAAGAGTTTGTTTGGGTCGTCTCAAATTTGGAAGGGCGGGACTCTTTCTTTGCGCCTACGCACCTAAACTCTTAATTTCTCCTTCTTAAGCGCCTTCCCTTATGTTTTTCAGGTGTTGCGCAGAAAAAATGTTTCCCAGGGATGGGGCCCGATGAGGTCCTAATTAGTGCATCTAAAAATCCGATGGGAATAAGTGAAACTGGAAAGTCAAACACTGCCTGCGCATCGAGTACAACTTTCTCCAGGTATTTCCCCCGCTCTCAATAGCCCCCCACCCGGACATCCAGTTCAGAGTGACCTGTCTGTCTGATCCCAGAGAGAGAAGCAAACTCTCGCCTTCCTCCGCTCAGTGGCACAGCGAAGGGCTTCTTGGGTTTAAACCAGTGACTCTCCCAAGAAGCCAATGAGGGTTTCTAGAGACAAGTCCCCCCTGGGGGCTCCAGCTTCGTCTCCAGGACCTGCCCCCCAGAAATACTTCCGAGGGCTCCAGTGAAGGGGAAGAGGGACTGGACTGGACTTAACTTCCAGCTTGCGCTCCGCTGGACTGTTTCGCTACGACCAGCGAGGATCTGGCTGCAAGGAGGCGCTCGCCCTTCCGGATGGGACCCCCCCTTCAAAGAAGGTGCCCCATTTCAAACCGCGCCCAGCCTTGGGCTGCTTTCAAATGGAGAAAAGCCAAACGCAGTCTCAACAATTCCTCTGGAGCAATTTCTGCCCGCTGAAGCCTTTACAAACTGGAAATCCTGATTACACAAAGTCATTGGCAAAAGCAGAACTAATAAAAAGATTACCTGGTAGCCAGGTCTGTTGTATTACGGTATATATATTTTTTTAATCAATTTCGTATTAATGGTACTTGAACTTTCTCTCGGTCAAGAACTTTCTCTTGCATGTCCCTCCTCCCCCATCCAGCTGTGTGTGTATGTGTGACACACACACAAAGAGACACAGAGGGTTTAAACTCCAACAATTTTCTGCCCGTTTCCCTCTCCCCCTACGGCTGGCACACGCCCCTCTTTTTAATATCGATCGCTCCAGAGTCACTCCGGTTGCACGCTCGTGCCAGGGGAGCGCTCTCTGAAGGCGTGTCTGTCGGGTCAGATTTTGGAGGAGGACTGAAGAGCAATATAGCAAACACCGCGCGCATACACCCGAGTGAGATCGGATTCACGCGAGGCAGCAGATGTGACCCGCAGCCACACCGGGGCGTCAGATCAAGGGCGGGGCTCTGCTCCGGCAGGGTAGCGCGCGCGCGGAACGTCCGCCGAAACGCGCGCACCGACACCTTGACCCAGTTGAAAAGAGCTGCCGGATTGGTTCGCGTTCTCGTTCGCTCTCTCGAATACACACTCAGTGTCCCCTCCTACCCAACGCACACACTGGAACCGGGGCGAGAAATCAACTTGGCGCAACGGTGCTCATAGCAAAGCCCCCCCCCTTTCATCTTGATTTAACAGCTTACAATCTCTTTCCATCTTTGTTAAAAACCTAAACACTTTCCATAACCACCACCATAGTGGAGTAGGAGGAGTAGGAGTAACAGATCTATCATTAGTACTACTAGAAAGCAATTGTAGCACCACTACTACCAGAATTACTTTCCTATTAGTTACCGGAAGTACTACTAGGAGTAGAATTTTAGGGGCAACTTGTAACTGGCGATCTTTCCTCTCACCCTGAGCACTTTTACTCAGAAAGAAGGTCTAAGGAGACTTACTTAAGAGTAGTACATGTCTTATCCAGTCCACAAACGAGTGTATGGGGGGGGTGTCTGTCTGTCTTCGCAACAAAGGGGCAGCTGTCTGCTTTCTGTCCAGGCGGGGAGACGAGAGGCCTAAAGAGTTGTTCTGTGTTTTTGAGAGCTAATAAGGGGAAGCGAATCGAGGCACGTGCGATTGACTGCCTGGCTCAAGTTCTCCTCTTCCGGTTAAGGGACCGGTTACGGGTTTTTTCTCTCTCTCTCTCCTCCTAAGGCAAACGGAAGGTAAGTTTCCATGGAATTTGCCTCCCAGCGAATGTGCGCTCAGGCTGGCTGGCGCGCACAGCCCTTGCCCATCCCTGGTGCTGCCACACAAGAAGGCTGGCTCGGTTCCCTGATGGGTTGGCTGTCGATGGCGCTCTTCAAGCACTGGAGGACCACTTAATGCAGACACCGCCACCCCTCCTAGCACCCTGGCTTGGAAAGGAAAGCCAGGGCGCTGGCATCCAAATGTGAATGGATGCCTTGGGGTCTGGGTACTATTTCTTCTCTCCGCGCGCCTTACATTCCTTCTCGGTTCGACCCAGCAATTCTTTTCTTTTTTCCCTGCTCCACCTTTTCCTCTTTTCCTCCTTCTCCTGCCCTCTTCCAGAAACTACACAGGTGACAGCTGTACCTGGAAGAAAACCTGGCAGATGTAAATGGCTCTTGTTAATAGTGTCCTTTTTTGGAGGAAGGGGTATTTTTATAATTATTATTTGTTAAATTTGTTTGTCGCTTTATCTTGTCCAAAGCGACTTGCAATCAAACAGACAGGGTTAAAGTTGAGATTACAAAATCCCTATTGCGTTTTATTAATTTTTTTTTATTAACAGTAGTAATGCTCGCCCTCTTTTTCCCTTGAGTCTATCCAATTTCTTAGCTTTTCAAAGAGCGAGGGGGAGGGGCGACGATTTTTAAGACTACTAGTAGTATAGCGCTTTGCATATCCTTAACCGCCTAGTTCAGTAGCTCCTGCTCTTTACGACACCGGTTCGGCTCCCTTCAGAGCAACTGGATGAAGTTAGGCAAAATCATCCACGTCCCTTAGAAGGGGTGTGGCTTGTTTGTCACGAGTTTTCCCTAGCTTATTTCTGCAGAAAGTAGACTGAGGGAAGGATACCTGTTTATACACGAGATGTTACATAGGCGCGTGGGTTGAGGGATACTGGAATTTACAGTGGGGGAACAAACCAGCCTTATTTCCTTCTCCCATATTTTTTGGGCCAACTTTCGTCTAAATTCAGCTGGAGGCGGGGGAGGAAGGACACGTGTCTGTGCTTGTTCGTGTGGATAGAAAAAACGGCGGGGTCGGTGCAAAACAGCCCCCAGGCCTAGTTTTTCCTTTGTTTCCATTCCTCCCACCCCTCCCGCACAGCTTCAAAGGCTCGATTAAGACGTGAATATTCCCCATTGTCTGTCTCAAGTCAGGGAACGGGCTGCCCCGCTGGGTCCCGGGTTCACGCGACCCTCTTCCCCACGCCGTCATTCCTCTGGGATAAGTACCTCCAATTCAGCTTTGGATGGGCTCCCCAAGCTCCTTTGGGGATTTGCAGAGTGAGAGACTCAGCAAGAAAAGCAGCGCATTGGAGGAGCCCCATAAAACATCGCAAACCTTCCCCCCAACAAGGCCTTCGCTTGAACTAGATAGAGCTCAGCCCCGGAACCTGTTGCCAATAGCACGCGTCAGCTCGGCAGCCTGTGACGAAACTAGGCTGGCCTGGGTGCCTCTGATCGTGTGCAAAGCGACTTCCCGTCCCAAACCAGGTCTAGAATTAGGGCTTTCGGGTCAGCTGTTGTAGACCCTACCAGGATTAATCCGAGGCAGACCTTTTCCCAGCCCCAGGAATGGCGCCGGGGGTGGGGGTGGGGTTGAGGAACTTTGCCCAGCTCCCTCCCATCCCTGTGCCGGCGCAACCCCGCTCACTCACTCACTCTGCATCCCCGCCGCATTCCCACGAGCGCTGCTCCCCGGTCTCCTCTGGAGAACCCTCCTGAAAATTGCTACTAAGGTTTGCAACGCGGCGGCCAGCCCTCCTTCCCTCTCTCCCACCCACCAAACGCCATCCGATCTACTCTCCACACCATCTCCAGAAGGAAGGGTGATGATGGCCTGAGACTTTGGCAGAGTGCCTGGGGAGGAGAGAGAGGGAGGGAAGACCCCCTCTTTGCTGGGACAGTCTTCAAAGAGGGAGGAGAGAGGCTCACAGCGAATCTAGCTTTCCAGCAAACAAAAGTTTTGCAGCCGGGTAAAGTCACCGAGAGCCAGTTTCTCCTGCAAACTTCCCCGGAGGGCACTGTCTGGAGATTAACACACTCCTCTTTCTTTCTTTCGTGCGTGTGCGCGTTCTTGTGGCCAAAGTTACTTGGGGAACGGAAATCTTCTCCTGTCTACTCCTTAAGCAAATTGGGGGAGCCCTTCCCGGGAGAGAGAACCCGTGCTTTCTCTACACAAGCCCAGGCCGGGGCTCTGCCTCCCCGCATCTCCATTCCTACGTCCAGGCACCCTCCTCCTCCTCCTCCTCCTCTCTCTGCCCTCCGAATCCGAGGCCCTGGGAGAGACAGAAAGACCCTGCCGTGCCCTTTCTCTTGACAATCAATATCTCTCTCCTTTGTGGGGGCGAAAAGGAGAGTCAGAGAGGAAGAAAGGAAAGTCCTCGAGATTTACCATCATCTGTTTGTATTTGTTTAGCTCACGGAGAGCGCTGATTGACATGTGCCTTTCATCCTCTAGTACTTACCCCGAGGAGTGATCAAATCCTGCCCTTTGCCCTCTGCTGACCCGCCCCCTCCCTTGCGCTCCTCCGACACTTTTTTTTTTTACATGGGCCACCGGGAACCCGCGCCTTTTTTCTTTCCCCTCTAGACAAAGTCAAGCGGGTTTCTCTTCTCCTCAGCAGCCACATTGCTTTCAATGGGACAACTGCAGAGCAAGCCTAGGCATGTTTACTTGGAAGTAAACCCCACTATGTTCACTGGGAGACTAACTCCCTAGTTAAGAGTCTTTAAAACGTCAGCGTTCCTTCTCTTTTCCCCGCCCCCAAATCAGTGATACTTTATAAACTTGGGCTGCAATCCTAACTATGGCTACTTAGAAGTAAGTCCCCTTGAATTCAGTAGGGCTCACTCATAGGAGCCAAATCATAGATGCTGATGGTCTTCAACCCCCCAATAAAATATTTGAGGGGACTCCCCCCCCAAGTCGATGGGCATTGCTATTTAAATGGTATGTGTGCACCGTATTATGTGATCGATGATGTGGGCGGGACTTACCTGCCCCCCCCCCAATATTTTATTCAGCTCACTCGGGTAAATTGACTTAGGATCGTAGCTGTCAACTTTTCCCTTTTTTAAAGGGAGATTCCCTAATTCCGAATAGGATTCCTCGCAAGAAAAGGGAAAAGTTGACAGCTATGCTTAGGATCAGAGCCTAAGCCTTATCCAACACCATATTTGCTCAGAGCTAAATCCCAGGGAACACACTGGCCCTTATTTGCGGTAGTTTATGCATCCATTGAGACATTGTCTCAGGCCCTCTCAAGAGGCAATGAGTGAGTACTTAAGGATCTGCCTGCCTTTCATGAAATACATCCTTTTGAGATTACGCTTAGACATTTGCGTCAATGCCTTGATACTAAACATGGTTGTGAGTTTGGCAAGTTTGACCTGACACGATCCTAAATTGCAATCCAGAATTCCAACACAAACGTACTGGGAAGTAAGTCTCACTGGGTTCAGTGAAACTGGCTTGTGTGCTAAGTGCCCATAGTATTTCAGCCTTGGTTTCCTGGCTTTTCTGTGACCTTGCTTCTAAGTAAATGCGCTCAGGGTAATGGTGTGATAAATATCAGTTTATGCTAAGTAAATTCCATTAGATTAAATGCAATTGGCTTTCTTTCTTTCTTTCTTTCTTTCTTTCTTTCTTTCTTTCTTTCTTTATTGCATTCCTATCTCGCCATTTTCTCCAAGGAGCTCATGGTGGCATGCAATTCTCCCCCTTCTCATTCAATCCCCACCACAACCCTGTGAGGTAGGTTGGGTTGAGAGGCAGTCACTTGAGTCGCTGCACAGTTA